CGAAATTAGGGGCAATACTTAGAAAGGGCCTCTTTGAGGCCCTCTTTGGGCCCCTTCCTTTGGATTCCCCGGTAGGTTTCTTCAGCCAGATTGAATTGGGGGCCCAGGAGAGTGTCTGTGCAAATTTTGAAGAAAATCGTAGGGGCCGCCCCATTGGGCCCCAAATTTCAATTGGGTCCCGTGGGCCCCAGGTGGGCCCCATCGAAAAATGTTACTTGGGTTTTTTGTTTGGGAAATTACGCTCTTTCCAATGATGTGCATATTGCTGGATTTTGTCGATGTTATAGGCCTGAAATTGTTGAAAGCGTTTATTTATGCCCCGAGGGCATATTCCCGGGCCCATACATTTGAAGCTGTTTTGTTCGGTTCAGGGGGGCGCTAGCCCCCTAAATTTGGTACCGTTGTACGTAAAATTTTGTCCTCTTTCGAATGACGTGCATTTTTAGCTGTTTTGACGGCTAGAAGTAGGGTTTTCAAAGTTCGTCGATTGTGCCCTGAGGGCATACTGTTTTTTTTATTTGTGGCCCCCCTGATGGATTCCCCGTATTTTGGCACTAGGATTTTCGATAGAGGACACCATTTGTTTTGGATAATGTACTTGCATTGCAGTGAAATGTAGAGCAAGACAGGGTCAAGATCAATCACGGACTCCTCAAAACAAAGTCAAATTTGTTGCTCATAAATGTTTTGGAAATTTTGAGTAAGGTAATTTAAGTCTATTTAAGTAATTTAAATTAAAGTGTTTTAGGTATTTATATACACTGTTATTCAAGTATGTTTTCCAGCATACAGTGAGCTTAACCCTCTAATGCCCACACATAGTTCCACGGTGCCTAAAATTAGCACCTCGTGACCTATGATTCATTTAAGGTCCCTTGTTCGAAATCTGAAGTCAAAAATTTTTCGCAGTCCAAATTTCGGAAATAATTTGTGTATCAAATATGATACATTGGGCATTCCACATGGTTATTTTAGTGGTATCCGACCACTCAGAAGGAAATGAAGACATAGATGAGAAGATATATGTTTTGAAAAAAAATCAGAGATAAAAGCGGCAGTTAAAATGTGTAAAATGCAAACAAGAAATCCTTTACTGTGCGCCACTTATCAGAACATTTTCTTAATATTTCATTGGCATCCTACTTGTATCAAAATGCCCTTTCAGTCGGTACTAAGGGAACAACGCTAATCATAGGCATCTTTTTACGAGTGCCTTCTATTCCTTTAACTTCCACGATACAGCGCGTTGCACTTGTGCATTTTTTCATAATTCAGACATGTGGGCCATGCTTCTCAAACGTGCATTATACATACTTGATACAAAAATGAAGACATTACGGTTGGTCGGTAAATGGTCGAAGTGAAGCAGTTCTGATGCAAAATGCTGGACAGCCTGCCGACGGACCGGAATCAATGCCAAAGACGATGTTGGTTTATCTTCACGATAGCCGGACAATCCCTGGTGACTGAAACTCTCAGCCTGTGAATCGTCAGTTAGCACTTTGACTGGTCGTGCGGTCCTCATGTCATCGGCGTCAGTACAACAGCCGCGTACTGACCAGTGACCAGTGCAGTAACCGTTGCACGTGTCAGACAACAAAGGTACAGGTAACTGTGTACCGATCGGCAGGAACTTGCACAATGAATCATTGACCTCATATGGAGGTGAGCGTACGCAATGCCGCACTTTAACTTGTCTTATGGTCAGTGTCCATGTTTTAGTATAAATCCCACATATGTCAATATATGACAACAAATGACATAGGTACCTGGCAGTAAAAATGTTTGCCAGGTGTCAGGCACCTGCTGGATCCTGGCAGCAGTGCATGGTTGCCTACTTCTTGGATGCGTAAATCAAAGGAACCACGTCCTTCGGTCTTGACGTCTGTCTTCATGGCGAGTCCGTTTAGCTAGCTTCCTCAGACGATGACGGTGTAGTTTTCCACTCCACATTCAATCTCTTACTACTGGGATGAACAGAGGGGATTTGAATCGCAAACAAATTGTGAGTCGTTCTCCAGTATGAATGAAAAATGCTGGCTGGCTGCTAATGCAAGTCTTCGGCCATGCCCAGCTAAGACATAGACCCACAAGACATAAGCCCGTCCACAAACCCTGTTGGAATATCGAAATTGTGCAAGAGACCGCTGAATCCTCCTTTCCCAAACATAGTCAAGTCTCAATTTTTGGTTTCACGAGTATAAATGCTTGCACGGATGATCGTCCCTTGAAATCAACAAGCTTGTCATCGATGGCATGTCATTCCTAACGTGGTTTTAGAAGATATGGTCTGCTAGTGTTCTGCAGATCAAAAAGTTCACTGTTATCATCGTCAAACAGTTGGAAAACCAGATTCCTATGAGCGTTAGAAAAGTCGAGATGTATGAGGCATGTAAGGCCACTCATAGAAAGCTAGATGGAAGATTGACAAGGATGAGAGGCGGCATAAGCGTACCAATATCGTTATGAAATATCGAGTCTGGAGCGAAATAGAGTTATCTGACGCCAGAGGTGCGAACTTCACAAATTTATGCATCTTGTACCATCGCCATTTTCAATGACTCACAGGCCACTGCAATGCTTATCACCTGAGAAAACTATGGTATTGGCACACCGTATGTTGCAGCGGCGAAAATTTCATAGAAATTATTGGAGTGCTATGCCCACTGTATCATATCTAGTATCCCCCAAATTAGGGGTCCATATCTTTGACCCTGAAATAGCTGCGATGTTTTGCAACATACTGTGATAAATGCTGGACATTTGTCTCACAGTATACCAAGTTTCTTTCCAAATAACTATTTTTTGTTTTTTAAATGCTAAAATTTACACTTGCATCTCAAATAGCTTTTCAGCAAAGGACAAACTGACCCTCTTCAAAATCACCTGGTGGGAAACTGAGAAATCATTACTTAAAAATTTTGCCACCAGGTGGTTGCCAAGACGTACCACTTCTGATACAGCAGGGTTTTCAACAATTTTCGCCTTCAGGATTAGCACGCGAATTTTCTGCAAATTGACTTACAGATATGATACCGGGGGCACTAGAGGGTTAACATTCATACATGTTTATGTCTTGCACATTAGCTTTCTTTGTAAGATAATTATCCTCTTGGTATTGGAATTTGCTAGCACTGATAAGTTGCCATTTAACAATGGTAGACTGATGTGTTTGGTATTACAGTTAACGTGTTTGCCGATTTGTTAGGACATCATGCAATTGGGAGAAATGTGTCATGCTTGCCATTTTTTCTTCATCCAATGTCATTTAGCAAATCAAATTTGAGTTCAGGTTTTTCAAAAATGCTTCAAATCTTTTATGGTAGTAGTTAATTATTATAATACCGACAAAATACCAAATGCTTTTGGTATATAATACCGAATACCAAATCGGTATTGGTTCGGTATCGGTATACCGAAATTTTGGTAACCGATTGACACCACTAACTTTTACAATATAGACGATTGGGGAATTCGACCTTATCGACATGGTACAACGAAGTCATCTGATCTGCCTGCCATTTAAACCATAGTAAAACTGGTATTTAAACGCTGCGAAAAAGCTTACGTATAACGTAGTTCCGATGGGTCGCTCCGATTTTCTTCCGATCGAGAGAAGTTTCATACCGAGAGAAGTATCGCAGCCACGTCCGATATAACTTACGATAGCACGGATCCCCCAGCCTCATTTCTTACCTCATCTCTTACCTTTTTTCATCTTGCCGTTATTCGCGGGAAGGGGCGAAATATGTTTCTTGTATGATGTATCATTACCAAACAAAGCAAGTTGTTCAACGCAAATTCGGTGAGTGTTCCTTAAAGTCCATTGCGCACATTCTGTCAATGAAAAATTGCCGGGTCAGGTCAGGTCAGGCCTCCAGAGGAAGTTTGTTAACTTCACACGTCGATCGATAGGTATTCAATAAAACCTTTTCGGGTGAAGACAAGACCTGACAACGCTTTTATCAAGCTCACAGACCACTGGCGGATCCAGAGGTTGAGGGGGGGGGGGCAACCGGGTCAAAGTCCCGGTCGTCGTCCCCCTGGGGGCGGCCAAAACATGATTTCCCCCTTTTCCAAATCGAATCCTTCCCTTCAGAATATTCACTGGACCACAATTCACAAAAGATGACGACATGCATGCAAGATGAGTCAATACATTCTCATTCCTTATCCCAATTAGCCCGATTATATCAAAATGGGGATTTTTTCATTGTTGACCATCGGAGACCAATGACTTCTTGGCCGGCTTTGGCCCCTCCCTTTAAAAACGGCCGGATTAGCTAGTGGCACAGACTTTTTAAGATAGTGAACATACGGTAGCTTCTCTATGCTATTGAATCATGCTGCTGATTCTAGTTGGTATCTACTACGCTACCTTTTCACATTCATTTTTCTTGATGCGTTTTTTTTTTTTGGGTGGGGGGGTCAAAATATATGTTGCCCCCCTTACAGGCTTTTGGGGGGCTTTGGCCCCGTAACCTTTCCCCCCTGGAACCGCCAGTGTGCATTTATTCATTCTTCGCACGTGAATTTTTATTTAATAAATTGGAAACTGAATAAGTGAACTAGTTAAACCAATAACTATTCAACTAATTACTATTTCAGCAAATAAGTAATAAGCAATTATTATTTTATTTTGACCACTCGAATATCGGTCGGACGTTGCCGTCAGCAATACACGTTTACCGCCGTCGCCGTATTTCACCCGATCTCGCAACATATTTTGTTTTGGTCGTTCTCGGTGTAATACGTATTCCTTCAAAGACACGCTAGTAGCCTATTGGAACCGAAATTGAATGTTTTTTCCAATAAGGGGTCTCTCATTATCGTAGGACTGTTGTAGGACATACTGTTTTGGAGATAAAGACAATATTAGTTAGGGGACTCGCTTTCTTTGCAACACCCTGTATAAGTTTGACTCGCTGACGGCTGTGTAGGTATGATGTATACTACAGTCAATAATTGTTTGTTTGACTAGGTGTGTGCTATGTCCCCAGATTTGTCAGCTGCCGGTTATTCGACCAGGGACGATGGCCCGCTCGGCTCGCCGCCGCACGACACGGCAGAGGCGCAGGTCAGTAGAGGTCTGCACCGGCCGGCTGCAGCCGCGGCTGGCTGCAGCCCCACGGCTGTTGGCCGGGGCGGCTGCAAATATCTCCAAGAACACGGCTACGGCTGTGGCCACGGCTGTGAGATTTCAAGCTCAATCTAAAGTATAGTCGACTACAGAATGATGTTCCACTCCTCAGAAGCTATCAGTTGACCGGAGCGCTAAGTTGTGCCGTTTATTACGCAATTAACCGTGTCGATTGTAAGCATTGGGACAAAACTATAGTTTGTGAACTCAGCCCGTGTGATGCGGCACAGCCTACCACTTCAGGCAAATAATTGCATGTGAAAAGTGGGACATCATTTTGTAGTCGACTATACTCAAATATAAAATTTTAAATCCTTAATCTTACATTCTGATAAGCAGTCTAGCCTGTAAAATCATGCAAAGAATGCCTAGCAACATTGAAAGTGGTGAAGCCTTTGAAAACCTTTAATGGTTTTATCATTTGCCGTAGCCGTAGGGGAGTTTGCGCTCCGGTACAGAATACTAATTATAGGTACCAATTGTTCCTTCATCATCAAGAGCTTGACAGTTTCAGAAAATGCAACATGTTGCATTGTCACATCCCTCTCAAATCAATCTCACCTGGTCATTAGGAGAGCACCTTATAGCTATTGAAGACAAGCGTTCAATAATTCTTTCAGGTAATAGAAAAAGAAATAACACCTAGGTAAAGGCAGGTAAAGACTTCATAAAATATTTTCTAAAATAACTCTTTTTCTGGATTTTCGGCAAGTCCAATTACATAATATAAAACTGCCGCTTTATGTTCTAACTGGTATGTGAGTGACCGCTAACAGAAAATGCTGATCAACGAAGCCAATGGAATTAGATTATAAGGGAGTATAAACCGTACTTACGGTTAATTCACATGACGGTGAAAACCCGGAACACGATATTTCTTACGCGAGCTGTTGACTTTACTAATAAAATGACGTCTTTTTCTGAAATTGTAAAAATTTGATACTGAATCTTTGTTTGAGAGCAAGTTTTTAACTGTTTAGCCTCATTATTTATTAATTATAATTTCTATGGCTGTTTGTAGAGACACAATTTTTTGCCACTTCTTTGCTATTGACGTCATTAAAAACTCAAATAAAATTTTTGATTGAAAGAGGCAATTGTGGCTCGCACGTCCTTGGTGATTTGAGCGAAGATTGAAGAAAAATGAAAATCAAATTGGAAAAATCAAAATAGATGAATGTTTTTCTTTCTTGGATGCTCACTAGTGTTTTGATGCCTTGCATATCAAATTAGTTTGAGACTTGCTCAGAAGGCTGCTTCAAGCCTGGCATAACACCCCCAGAAAATATGCAAGGTAAGAAAGAAGCAAGAGTTTTGACTAGACAATCACTGTTTGACAGTCCATCAACTTCAGTTTCATTTTCCATAACATTGATAATGAAAAGCATCAGGGTCTGTTGTTCTTGTTCTGTCCCACAACCCAGGTTTTGGCATTAGATGTCTACACTGTCTGCTGGTGCTTCTATTCTGGTTCGTTGTTTATGTTTTCTGTTGATGTAGGTACCTACCTACCCATCTTTCTTAACCCCTTGCAAGGGCTTGTGTAGGCATGCGTTGCGCATCAGGCTTTCGGCCTGAAGCCAGATACACAACCACTTAACCCGCGCCCCGTAGGGCTACCGGCGGACCCTACCACCGGTAAGGGGGGGGGGGGCGTTTCGGCCCCCCCCCTAAGATCTCGGAAATTTACTGGACGATTTTCAAAATTCAAACGGTGTTCGATAGCCCTACCCGGGAACTACCTCGTGACCAAATTTCATTGACCTAGGTCAAACCGATGACGTCACAGGTCAGGTCGAAGGTCGGATTTTCACCGTTCACAGGCATTTCAAGAAATGTGTTGTGAAATTGAGTAAATTGGTAATTTATTGAAAACCATTGATGGTACATTGTTCATCAAACACATACTTTGCTATCTGAGGTCACTGATACCAGGTCAGGTCACAGCGAGGTCAGGTCACCGGGGGTCACAATATGAAAGTGTCGTGTGATGCATGTTTTATGATCCATTTTACATGAAAGTGCGATTATATGGGTTAGGCAGCCTTTGGGGCCAGCCTAGGTGACGTTTTGGTGATGGTCAGGTCAAGGTCAGGTCAAATTAGGTCAAATTTCAAAGTTGATATTTTTGCATAAAATGGGTACCGATTCGATGCAGCTCGTCACGGGGAGTCTAATGGTGGTCTTTTTTTGCTCTACGAGGTCTAGAATTGCCCAAAATTGAGTTTGAAAATTTGACGTCATCATTTGTGAACAGTTTTTTTCGCTATAACTTGGCCAAAAAACGAGCTATTGATCTGAAATTTGGTATGTAGATAGAATACGGTAGGTACTATCACATATATTCCGTTTTTTTTTCGAAACTCAAAAACTTTTATGCTTTTTTGGCTAATATATCCAAAAATATACTTTTTTGATTTTGGGGGGTCAAAACTCAAAAATTTCAAGAATCCGAGATAGCAGTTTTGTAGCCCTGTCAATTCTACACCTTTTATGTTTTGATCATTTTTCAGTATCTTCAAAGCTGTAGCCCTGACAGGTCTTCGCGCGAAGGTCTTTTTTGGGTCGAAAATGACAGAACATGATGTCATTCTGACGTCATTTGTGGCCAACCTATCATAGCCTCTGGTAAAAAAAAATTGGTCACAATGTATAAAATTGATTCCACGTTCATTCCACGCCATTCCACGTTCTGCTGCAGCATCTCGCTGGCTAGCCGCGCCTGATTCCAGCTTTGGAGGCATCTTCTGAGCTCACGTTCAGCTCCTCTCATGGCAGTTCCGTTATCCGAGTAGATAACGCGAGGGAGTCCCCTTCTTGCCATCATGCGTCTCAGACACATGATGAGGGAGTCGGTGTCTATAGAGTGAGACATTTCTAGATGCACAGCTCTTATGCTGAGACAGGTAAATATGCAGCCATATCTCTTCTCCTCTCTTCCATCTTTCTTCACCAGGATTGGTCCGAAAAAGTCTAGTCCGACGGCCGCAAAGAAAGGACTGGTAGAGTCGACACGTGCTGAGGGTAGGTCGCTCATCAGAGGTGGCTGTGGAGTTGCTCGTGCTCGTGCTCGTGCACAACCAGGACACTTGAAAGTGTAAGCTCTGACGGCAGCTCGTCCTCTCAGAATCCAGTGCGTCTGCCGTATTTGACTCAGTACGTGATTCGCACCGGCGTGGGCGAGAGTTCGATGCCGATCAGTCACAATCAATCTTTTTTTTAACGTTCATTCAATATAAGCACATCATACATAGGGCACTCACGGCAGGCTGGGTAACGAGGCTGATCTCACGTGATCAGAGATCTCCCGAACCATGCTCTCGCCAGCAAGTATTCGTCGCCAACTTTGCCACGGATTCAGCTCTTTTTTTTACATACGGTTCACAAGGTGCAACATTCAAGCTCCAACACGGAGTTACAAGCTATAAGGTGTAACATTTTTCAGATCTATGTAGCAGCTCATCACCTTCATGTGTCACTACACAATAGCACCTATATACAATCCATTAGTCAGCAGCAGATTGAGTGTAGTTAACTGAGCGCAATCAAACAAACTGCCAGCGAACACGGTTGGGGACAGTAAAGAGAATCCCTAGGAATTCTGCCCCGCCCCGCATCGCCCCGCGTAATGCATACTCGTCTTCGCTGGGGCGATGCCCCAGCTTGGAAGTCAGTCACAATCAATCTTGTTATCTCGTGTCTGGAGGGCAGGATCACCTGATGCTGCGCTTCGTATGATACGGCGGTCGCGTGGCGCAGTCGACCCCCAACACGGATCAAGCCGCTGCTGTCCATGAAGGAGTTCAGCGACAGAAGCTTGCTGTCACTAGCCACTTTCTCTCCTTTCTGTATCGCGTTCACTTCTCTAGGGAATGCCTCTCTTTGTACATTCCGACACCAGTGGATTTCGGCCTCACGGAGCTCCTCGGGTGTCAACGGCCCACCATTTCGCTCTGATTGTGCTCTCCGACTGTTGAACAGAAACCTACGTAGCCAGGCCGTAACTCGTAACAGCCTGCGCCAGTCTGAAAATCGCGCTAGATCGATGACGTGCTCTTCACCTGTCGTCGAGATGCAGAGTCGAACTTCGCGGCGCTCTTCTGTATGCGCCGTGTTCTCTTCCTGGTTTGCAGGTTGTTCACTTGGCCACTGTGTCTCTGGATGGCTCAGAAACTCAGGACCGTGGATCCATCTGTCGTTGTCCAGTAGTTCCATCAGACCACACCCTCGGGAGCAGACGTCGGTGGGGTTGATGACTCCTGGTACGTGTCTCCAGGAGCGGCAGTCTGATTCATCTTGAATTTCATCGATACGGTTCGTTACGAAGTTTTGATAGCGGCGACTTTCGTTTTTTATCCAGTCTGTACGCGAATCCGACCAAAAGTGAGTTGAATGAATCTCGATGTCATGCTCTCGTTTGATGGAGACTGCAGCGCGTACAGCCATTACAGCCGCTTGTAGCTCTAGTCGTGGAACGCTGAGCTGGCGCAGGGGTGCCACGCGATTCTTAGCCAGAACGAGAGCGCAGCTAATGTGGCCATCTTCATACGTGTACCGTAAGTATGATACTACACCGAAAGCGACTTCGGAAGCATCTCCAAAGATGTGAAGCTGGCAGTTCACTGGGGCACTGTGCCACTGGCTGTAGCAGCGCGCTACTCTGAAGTCGCTCAGCGTCTCTAGATCAGCTGTCCACTTCTCCCACGCATCCTTCAGCCTTTGATCCTTGATTTCTTCATCCCAGCTGAAGCCAGCTTTCCATATACTCTGGAGAAGACATCTTTTCAGGAAGAACCCACGGGGCCAGCATGGCCAGAGGGTCAAAAACCGATGATACCCGACTCAGGATGTCCCTCTTTGTGGCCAGCTGGGTGAAGGCAGTGGCTTTGAAGGTGAACATGTCAACTGTGGTGTCCCAATACACCCCCAGTGCGCGT